ACACACACACACACACACACACACACACACACACACACACACACACCACTAGAAGCTTTGTGTACAAAAAGCAACCGAATGTTGTTGATTTTTCATTGAAAGCACCAAAACGAAAAGAGAGAAAGAAGTGAACGAAAAGAACCAATAAGTATATGCAACACAAAGTGATCAAAGTGATGTTATTTCATAGAGATTTTATTTTCGTTGCTGCTTTTGTTGATCCAACGGATACACAAACCAATCACACAAATTGAATCAAAATCCAATCAAAAGCGATCATTATATGAAATCGCTTCGATCGCTCATTTCCAGATCACAAAGCACATACATTTCGTAGAGCAGAAGAAGGAGAAGAAGCGGAATGAACAAAATAAAATCATCGGCAAGATATTTCGCCGGAATAGTTTTTCTCTCATCTCTCTCCGTGTGTGTGTGTGTGTGTGTGTGTGTGCCGGGCCTGAAATTAACATTACAAAGTTGATACACACTGACCCATTTTAACAAGCATAAACATAATTGGATCTGTTTGAAAGTGCGCGCTATCGAGAGCATGCCGTTCAAACAGATATTGAACAAAGCAGGGAAAAAAACTGTAACGATTTTTTTCTCTCTTTCTGCTGTTTCAATTGGAAACTGATAACGGGTTTTGATAAGCTCGTTTCGCTGGGAAATTTCAAAACATTTCTTTTCCATTGCAATCAAGCAAATACACAAATTAAACCATTTTTTTATGATAATGTTTACTGATTAAAATTTTACAAAGAACCATAACAATAAATATAATTCATGAAAATATGATCGTATTCCTTTTCGTATTTTTTTCTTCCTTTTCGTCTCTATTCTCCCCTTCGAAACGTAACAAACACTCACATAAAATCAAACTCAATTTTTTTTTTCCAAATTCAAGTTCTACAAGAATGATAACACAAAAATATGCACAGTTTCACGGGAAACATTTTTTTTTTTCTGATTGATAAACAATAACTATTCGGCTGTGATCAACCAATACAATTGTGTGATGTTGCTTACTTTGTTAAACCGTTATGTTGGTTCCGTGTCGGACGATTCAGTGACAAGAAGAAGTACATAAAATAACAAACGAGACAGGGAGAACGTTTTTGGGTTATTTTTTTCTGGAAAAAGCACAACCAGCCTAGCCAGCGATTGATATCAAACTGTTTTTCCAACAATTCGTTCAATGAATTTATATGTATACGTCGGTAAAATCGGTGCGTTTTTCCTGCTCTCGTTCGCTGCTTGTGTGTGCCGTGGCTCCAGCTCTCTCACAGACGTTACTGGTTTTTTTTTTTCATTCGGTCGGTGTTTCGCTCGAAATGCACACATGGAGACGTAAGAGACGCAGAGAAATAGACGCTGTGGCAAGCGTACGCAGTACCAAACAAGCTTATAAATAGGAAAACTTACAACAACCACGGACGCTTCTGCTGCTGTTTCTGTTGACGTGCGCGCTGTGTATGCTTCCATAGAATTGGATGCGATGAAATGTGTGTGAGCGCGCGTTGTGTGTTTCAAACATTGATAGCGTGCATCAAACACGCATGCTGACGCTCACACACATTTTTCGTCATCGCTGTCGTCGCTTTAGAGTGCGGCAAACATATGAGGAATGGAGAAAGCTGCTCAAAATCGACAGTATTCTGTTTACTTTATACCAAGATACGATTAAGCTCACCGATCCGTCAAAATCGTCAACCGATTTGGTGCTGTGACATTCGCTTTGTCGTTCGATTCGAGCGAGCGCGCGTCCTGTCACTTCGACTTGATCACTGCCTCGTCCAAATTGAATCAGATTCCTTGTCATCATTCAACAAAAGCACTTTTTGCCAATACAATTCGCGCAAAATGCGTGGTTTTTTTTCGGTGTGTGTGTATGTGTCTGTGTGTCGCGTTAATCACATTTTATTGACAGATAATGAAGGGTCGATGTTTACTCTTAATTGCTAGTCATTTTTTTCATCTGGTTCTTGGTGCTGGTTAGCGCCATTGCTCCAGCCAAGTCAACAATTTAATTTAATATTTAGGCAACGACTTTTTCAACTTCTCTGCGGTTAATTGGAATCACAATGGTGGCTTTTTTTGCTGGATTTCAGTTGTGTTTGGCGTGTTGTGTGTGCGCGCAAAGGAGGAGCACGCTTGAGCGGGCGGAAGAGCGAGACAGGCAACGGTATTACAAACTGCCAGCCAGATGATACGTTGCGTCTTTTCCCATCAAAAACTTTGATGTGTGCGGGGCAACAACAAACAGATAAATTCATGTCGTGCACTGGATTTTTTTCATTCTTTGACGTTTCATCTGATTCGATCCCCTCATCTGTGATGATGGGCGCACAAAAACTCACCGCATTTTATTGTTGAGAGGGAAAGCGTGCGCGCTCGCACTTACGCACACGTGCGGGGAAGAGCGCCTGGTCGCAGTGATAAAGCCATGTCACATGTAACACTCTAATGCGTGAAAGTCAAACGATATTAAACACTTTCCGCGGGTGAACACACAGCAACAAAATACCCACCACCCCATCGAACAGAACGGACAAAAAAATGAACAACTGCACTCAACAGGCGTATGCGTTCCATCACATTCCCGACATTTTAATTTGTAAAACATTTGCCACTGCCACTTTTATTTTCTGCCATTTAAATTGCGGCTTTATCTTTGTTCCCGAACCACCCAAAACAATGCACATGCACAAACGTACACACAGTGGATGAAAATGCCATAAGAACAACGCAAAAGTTCGTCGTTATTTCATTGTTTATGGGCCATATTTGTTTGTCGGCGAATGAACGAACGAACGAATGACAGACCGACAAAGAAAAAACAACACAACCATATTATTATGACAGAATCGTAATCGAGTCAATTTTTCAATCCACTTAAAAACATTCAAATTACATGTCAAAAATGTCGGATAAAATGTCTGTTGAGTTGCCAACAAAATTGTGCTTTGGAAAATATGATTTTTTTTCTTTACTTCGAAATGTGCTGTTTTGTTCACGGGCTTAAATAATCGGCTAAAACCGAGCAAGTGAACGATGAAGAGAGAGAGAGAGAGAGAGAGAGAGAGAGAGAGAGAGAAATAAAATGAAAACAAACATGTGAATTTTTGCGCTTATGTTGCCTCATCAATCGTTTCAGCAGTTTGAATTTCGGCTCATATGAATTGCTTTCCATTGTGTATGGGTTTCACGCTAAATTTACTTTGCACTGGTATTAGAAGCGTCTTTAGTAAAAGCGAAAAACAGCATTGTCATCATTTGGCACATGTGTATGCGTTCGGTTGCAGCTTTTGCAAATGAAGCTCTTACATCGCCTTAAGTAATTTGCGAATTTGTATATTATTCGAATGCGAGCAAACCCAGAGAGAGATTTAGAGAGTATGTGTGTGTGAGAGAAAAGAGACTGGAGGAGAAGGAGGAGAAGGAGGAGAAGGAGGAAAAAAGTACCAACGACAACAAAACAAACCGTTATTGCTCTGGTTACATATTCATTTAAAATTTAATGTGACTTCCAAATGTGTACGAAAACAGAACAAAAATGAGATCGAGCGAGCGAGTGAGAGAGTGAGAGAGAAATACACTAAAGCTAGATAAGAAGGAGCGCATATCTTGCCTTGCGGCCATTCCAGAGAATCAAATAGAAAATTTATACACAATCCGTGCAAGCGAGTCCCCAAAACACATTGTTCAACATGCATAAAAATGTGTATGAATCGAGAGGGGAAAAAAGGAACCATAGAACAAATGACAAAGAACTTGGAATCATTGCTGGAACTTCTCGGAACTCTCTCTCGGCTGTTTCTTGTTCATCAACGAAAGAAAAACGCATACTCATTTCGAAAAATAGCCACAATAAGCACATTCATATTTTAATGTTTGTCGTTGAGACGAGAGAACAAGGGAGAGACACAGCAGAAGAAAAAAAAATGTAACGCACAACACGATTCTTTCGATGCATTCATAATAAGATAAGAGATAGACAGTAGTCATATCTGAATAGTAATAACGACGAAAAATTGACGTTTGCAAAAACCCTGAGTAAACACACAGAAGAAGCGACATACAGACGATGAGACGCACAATACACGACGCGTTAGGATTTTTCCCAATTTGAAGGGGATATAGCGATGGAGATAGAGAGAGAGAGAGAGAGAGAGAGAGAGTGAAAATCGTTCAATGAACTTTTTATGCTTTTTCTGCTCGCTGGCGCACACACACACACACATCCGCCGATCGACAAATGAGCAAAGAGCCAAATAGCGAAAAAATAAAGAGTATATTCATCCACCTCATAAATACAGATTAACAGTTAGACAAACATTAGGCACACTGCATTTATTTGGCTCGACTAAATATATCCCCTGACTTCGCAACGATTTTCATTTATCGTTTTTACCCTTTTCAATTGGATGCATTTTTAGCCGTTATCTGTTCTGCAATATTCTGTGTGTGTGTGTTTTTTCTCTCTCTCTCCATCTCCCTGCCCATGGATGACGGTGTCATCGGCCATGGGAAATGGGAACGCTTTAAAGTGATATCGTGTGCTGGCGATACGATTCGTTCACCATCGAGAATATCAAATTTATAAATTATAGGTGTCAAATAAATGACACACTCGAATTCTGTATGATTGGATACACATTGATAACAGACTCCAATGCCATAGTCGGTCCAGCCAGATATAAAAAACGGATATATATGTGTAATAAAGCGCCAGAGCCAGAGCCAGAGAAAGAGAAAGAGGGAGGTGGAGAGAATGAAAAAGCGGCGATGTCACAAAAGTCAAACCACAGAAAGTCTACGCATCAAGTGGTATATTGCACACATATTTTATGCGTGTTATTTTTTTTTTTATTCTGGCTGTGGCTTTTTGTCCCTCTCTGTCATTCACTCTGTTTCGTTTCGATCATTCATTTAGGTCCGTTCGTTGGACCACAACACTGTACATTTCGTTTGTTTATTTATTTGTGTCTGCCATTTTGCGGGATTTAATTGACAAAAAGACGTAGCGAGACCTCAATTCACCACTTTCCCCCCGGCCTCTCATAACTTAATTTGTGCCACTTAAGCGAACGTTTTCGGTTTCAGCTGTCCTGTGTCACCAATGAACTCTCGCTCTCTCTCTCTCTCTCTCTCTCTCTCTCTCTCTTTCTCTCTCTCTTTCTCTCTCTCTTTCTCTCTCTGAACGTCTCTTCGTGCTCGCGCCAGAATCTCGACACCAAAGTGTTGGATCTGAAAACAATGACAACAAATCCATCCACACAGACACAAACGCACATCAACCAAACGCTCAATGCCGTTGGTACACATCGCATGTGCTTATGGCCAGGCAATACCAGGAAACAACAACTTTCCGGCCCATGCGTTTATCACTAGCAAAAACAATGCCATACACACAATATAAAAACGTTGCCTGAAAAAAAAACCAAAGACGATAACCACAACGAAGAGCGACGAAAAAAAAAAACACGTAGAATAAATGTGAAAATACAATTACCGATGAAACAAACACGAACGAATGGAGAAAAAAAAATGAATGCTAACATCCAGTTTGGGGACAAAATGCACTAAGATATGAAGCAGAGATAAAATAAGAAATACAATGAGCTATAAAAAACAGAAACATAAATCTGTCTCGGGGGACTCTTAATATATGCTTTAGAGCATACAAATCATTCCTTCCGGATAGCTAACACTCTTTCAGCTTTCTTGTCTGCGCGCGTGTTTGCGTGTGTGTGTTTGTGACACAATACAAGGGACTGCTTTAAGTCGTATACGCCGATATACACACACTTTTCTTTAGGCGAGAATATTACACATTACCGATATTGAAGCAGCTTCGCGCGAAAATAGATACACCAAGCACACACATACACATGAAGGGAGAGAGGGAAAGAGACACAATGATTCAATCGTCAAAAATCTGTTGAATAGTTGCCGGATTTGCATTCAGGCTGTATTTCCGTGTCTTTATCTGACCTAAAATCGCATTAAACACGGGACCAAATTGTATTTTGCCACACAAACGCAATCGGATTTGAAGAAAGAGAAAAGGACAAGCCTCAAGATAGGAATAAAGACATACGCAATACGAGAGAGCTTCTTCTCGAATGATTTATGAAACTAGGTAATATCGCATAAATTCCA